CGCAACTTTACAAAAAAAGAAGCCCAAAGTCGCGTATAATACGCGGATTTGGCAACTATGCTTACTTGCCGGCAACCCGCCAAAATAAAAGCGTGCTGATTTTAGGTTGGAAAATGATGAAAATACATTTAAAAAATAAAAAAAGAGTCAATATAAGCATTGCATTTTTAACTGTACTATAAAATAACTGTATTTTTATTTTATACTCAATTTATTTATTTTTAAATATAATAGTATTATCACACTGATTATTTTGTTTATTATTTTATTAAAATACAAAATAAATAAATGCAATAATACTATTATCACTATTAATAATTATTTTATTTTTATAGTTATATTTAATGAGTCACACTATGTGCATTGTGAGTACCAAACCAAATCTCTAGGTGCTCTCATGAGAACCAGACTTATGTTCATCATTGCTAATAATGTTCTGTTTTTAATTGGTCCAGATTGTGCGGTGCGTGCAGCACAGGAAGAGACTTCGGAAAAACAGACTCTCCAAAGAACAGCTGAAGAAAATCCCCACTCACAAGTTTGTTAAAGGTGAGCAAGAGACTTTATTAAAGAATTATTCAGTATTAAACGTTACATAAACTCTATGGACCGCATCTGTGGTGTGCCTTTATTTACCACAGGAAATATTCTTGACTCCGCCAACAAAAACTAACACATTTACTAAAATGCAATATGTACTGACAATCAAGTCCAAAATATAGTCAAGTTACAAGGCAAAGATATGTCTGAGAAATTCATCACAACTGCTTAAATCATTGATATAGTGATATATTTTTTTTCATGAAATCATCATGTTTGGGTGGTCTAAAGATGATAACAGCACTGAAATCTTACACGCAGGAGTAGTACGCGCATATACCAGAGTTATTATTGCTAACTAAAACTAAACGCATAAAAATCATTTTTGTTACTTGAAATAAAATAAATGTCAACTGAAAGAAAATATTAAAAAACTTAAAACTTATTTCATTTCAGCTAGTTTCCATAGCAACATTTTACATTTTCATTTTGTTGAATTTTGTGTTATAAAATAATTATAACTAAAACTGAAATAAAATTAATAAAAACTAATATACATTTAAAATCAATAAAAATAGAATCACAAAAACATACAGCAAAATTACTAAAACTGTAACTACAATTAACATTAAATAAAAAAATAAAAAATGACATCTAATTCAAAATATTAACATAACAGTATCTCAATGGTGCTGAAATAACACTGGCATAAACCACATGGTCAAACAAAGAAAACTCACCGATCGCTGAGTTCAGAGTGGGTTCTGATTGTGAGCAAGACTGTTCTACTGGATCATCTAGCACTTTAATAATTGCATATTTTTCTCAGGCGATAATTATGATGTGTGTGCAATCTGCCTTGATGAATATGAAGAGGGAGATAAGCTGAGAGTGCTGCCCTGTTCCCATGGTAAGTGAGCTGCTCACGTCTGGGTTTGAACCTTTACACTCCTGTCTAATAGTTTAAACATATCTAACATTTGGCTGTTAAAGGTAAAGTGCACATATATTACAAGAAATTACATGTTTTAGTTTGACTTTCTGTTTAGTTGATTTTGAAAAAGCAAACTGAAACATTTAGACCTGATTGGACCTAATCAGAGACACATTGGAGGTTTCTCACACATAAAACCAGGCAGCCTGTTTGACAGAAGTAAAATAATTTTTAATGGAAATTTAAAATTTACATAGTCACCCCTGAGTTCACCTACATTCAAAGAAATGCAAACAACAGTGAATGACTGCAGGCAAAAGTGCTGATTTCACAAGCTACATCAATAATGAGTGCAAAAAGTCATTTTTCTTACTCTATATATTTGTCATTTTCTTCAGTGCAAGTATTGTTATACAGAAAGCACTCATATAAATTACACAAATTCTTTGACTATTTCTAATAAACATTTAATGCCATATTCATGTCTTATTTCCTTTGTACTGAATGTAAAATTAGCATTGCCTTGTGTTTTTTTTTTTTTAAATTAAGAATTTTTAAGTGATTTATTTCTACTTATTTTAGTAAATATTATATAAAAATAAATATAAATTTCATTGCAAGAATCCGCTATGCATGTGATATGCTATGCATACTATTTTTATATTAAATAGTGTGATATTATAAATATCAGGCCATCCTGCTCTCTAAAATAATGGCTTCAAAGAATTGTCTAATCTCTGTGTGTAAAAAAATATTCCTGCCTAATGCCCAAGTCACCAAACAACAACAACAACAACAAAATCTTAATGGCTTTTAATGTTTATGTAAGAAGTGGCATTTAACTGTGAGCTTGAATTTTAAACCGCAAAGGAAAACTAATTATTTTAGTAAATATTATGTAAAATAAATAGAAAATCCATGGCATAAATTGTTGTGCATGTATTATTTACTATCTTCAATTTAAATAGTGCTTTCATACAGTACTTGTGAAAAGTTTGGAAACATTATGATTTTCCAATGTTTTTAATGAAGTCTCTTCTGCTCACCATGGCAGCATTTATTTAGTCAAAAATACAGTAAAAACAGCACAAATGGGGAATATTATTACAATTTAAAATGACTATTTTCTATTTGAATATATTTTAAAATGTAATTTATTTCTGTAATGAAAAAGCTGAATTTTCAGCATCTTCAGTGTCACATGATTCTTTAGAAGTCATTCTAATAAAAACAGTTATTTTAATTTGTAATACTATTTCACAGTATTAGTGTTTTACCGTATTTTTGAGCACTCCTTGGATAGTGTAAGAGACTTAATTAAAAATATTTAAAAAATCATAATGTTTCCAGACTTGTGACAAGTACTGTATGTATTGTTGAAATAGCATTTTAAAGGAAAAAATAGCTATTTTTTGTCCCTGTTCAGAATACCATAACATAGTTATTTTTTGTTCCATTATTCAGCTTACCACTGCAGGTGTGTGGACCCCTGGCTCACCCAGACTAAGAAAACCTGCCCAGTGTGCAAGCAACGCGTGACCCGTCCCAACCCAGAATACTCAGAGTCTTCAGATTCCGACGGCGAGTCGGGGCCACACGAGGCTGATGAGGAAGAGGAAGGAGCGACCAGCGAGGCTGATTCTGAGCGCACGCCTCTCCTTCGGCCCTCCAACCCTGCGTCCCCCGCCTCCTCCAGCCCGCCTCCCTCTTATGCCTCCACAGTGACGTCAGAGGCAGCCGTCGCTACAGTAACAACCTCTGCACAGTGCTTGCTGCACGCACCGCAGCCTGACGTGCCCCTGCTGGGATATGATGAGTACTATTCTCCCATAGAGGACTCGGATGAAGGTACGGATGAGGAGGAGGGTCACCCTTCAGATAGCGATACCACAGAGCTTATCGGACGGGGCGCTGTGCGAGTCTGAGGGGTCGATTAAAAACAGCTTTGGTTGTTATAGAATGTGTTTTCTCTGTTGTATATCACAGAGCTCATATTTGAGATATGCATCCACCTAGCTAGTGTGATCAACACTACACGGCAGTTTTTCTTTTCTACCCTAAAATTTGGTCCGTGTCCAAATAGAAGTTAAAAGTAACTTTTTTTGTTAAGTGAATGAAACTGTTTCTTAAAGGGTTAGTTCACCCCAAAATTAAAATTCTGTCATTAATTACTCACCCTCATGTCGTTCCAGACCCGTAAGACCTTCGTTCATCTTCGGAACACAAATTAAGATATTTTTGATGAAATGTGAGAGCTCTCAGACCCTGCATAGACAGCAACGCAACTGTTACGTTCCCAGGCCCAGAAACGTAGTAAGGACATCGGTAAAACAGTCCATGTGACATCAGTGGCTCAACTTCAGTTTTGCGAAGCTACGAGAATACTTTGAGCGCAAAGAAAACAAAAATAACATAATTTATTTAACAATTCTTCGTTCGGAAGAGAAAGAGTACCCAAGAACGTAATCGACGTAATCAGCATTGTTTACGTTCGGGAGAGAAAGCGCGCATGAACATAATCAGCGTTGTTTACGTTTAGGGGAAAGCGTGCGTATGCATTGTGATACTCTCTAAAATGGCGGAAGACGTAACTCGGGGGAGAAGAATTGTTGTATAAATTGTTATTTTTGTTAGTTTTTTTTGCGCTCAAAAAGTATTCTCGTAGCTTCGCAAAACTGAAGTTGAGACACTGATGTCACATGGACTGTTTTACCGATGTCCTTACTACGTCTCTGGACCTGGGAACATTTCAGTTGCGTTGCTGTCTATGCGGGGTCTGAGAGCTCTCACATTTCATCAAAAATACCTTAATTTGTGTTCCGAAGATGAACGGAGGTCTTACGGGTTTGTAAACGACATGACGGTGAGTAATTGATGACAGAATTTTCATTTTGGGGTGAACTATCCCTTTAACAAAATAGTCCATCCATAAATAAATTAGAACAGATAATTTACTCGCCCTCATGTCATTGCAAACCAATATGGATTTCTTTCTTCCATGAACAACACTTTCTAGCAATAAGCTGATTAGTTGTGCTTGATTAGGGAGACTTGCAAAACACTGTTCTACAAGACAACAACAACACGTGTGAAGCCTGAATATGTGGAAGTACAAATGAGATTTTAAAGTTGCGTTGCGTTGAATGATGATGGTTCACACAAAAATAAAACATCTTTCATCAATTACTCACTCTTGTGTCATTCCAAACCCATAAGACTTCCATTAATCTTCGAACACAAATGAAGATATTTCAGATGTTCTTTCATCTGTTGAAAGTCCATGCAACCAACAATTTCATGTATTAAAAACATTTTTAAAAAGACATCATAAAAGCAAAATCAGTCAGAATATAAAATTTAGTTTCATCGAAGTCTTCTGAAGAATTGAATTATATGATGAACAGACTTAATTAAGGCTTTTTCTCATACACGCATACATAGAGAACATCAACATATGGTAAACTCAACTGTACTCACATGGTGCGTATGAACAAACCTCACTGATTCTTTCGTGTCAAGCAAGTGTAACTGAGTTTTCTTTTACCATATTTTGATGTGCTCATGTATGTGTTTATCAAAGTTTATACGTGAATAAAAGCCTAAATTAAACCAGTTTGTTATATAAAGTGATTGTGTCTCTTCAGAAGACTAGACTGATCAATTCACATGGATTCCTTTTATGACCTTTTGAAGAACTTTTTGAAACTCAAAGTTTTGGGTCAGTAGACATTCAATTGTGGGACAGTGTTAAGTTTCATTAAAAATATCTTCATTTGTGTTTTGAAGATGAATGAAAGTCTTATGGGTTTAGAATGACATGGTAGTGAATAAATGATAACAATTGAAATTTTTAGTTGAACTATCCCTTTAAATTCTGCTTCGATAAAGCTGTCATATGACTTCATGAGATGCAGAATATAGCACATTAATCACGTGGATTAATTTAATGGTGATTGGTTGTCATTTTGGGAGCTTGGTCAGCTTCTACTAAATTCTGCTAAATACTTATTCTACTAAATTTCTCCATTTGTGTTTCACTAAGAAAAAAAAACTCAAAATGATGGTGAGTAAATAGTAACAGAATTCTCAAAATTTTGGGTGGACTATTTCTTGTTGTCGCCATTTATGTGCAATACGGACAGGTTTCCAGTTTGTAAATTAGTAATTTTATTTTATTTATACATACAGAGGCCACACAAAAATTATTGCAGACTTCTGAATTAGGGTTTTTGAAAACTAACTTTTTTTAATGTTATTTTTAGTGTAAACCTGCATAAATCAACCTGTTTAAGCGATCAAAAAATACCATTCCTACAGGATTTACATTCAGTGATTTTGAATTTCTTTGGGTTATTACAACAACAAAAAAATCCTTTATAATCCATCTTTTTTTTTAAAAATACATAAACTGGCTGTCTGAACCAGTTCCTTGTTCCTTGTTCCTCTCTTTCTACATCATATAATGGCATTATTCTCTCTCATATTGATATACAAAGGTTGCAGTTAAAAGTTTTATTATCGTTACTGATGCAAGCTGTAAAGCTGGATGAACAAACAGTCTTATTCTTTGTTTAATATAGATATTTGCAATATAAATGCTAGCTGCTGTTTGAAATTCAAATTGACTTTGATCATAGCTGACAGTGTATTGACTTAATAGCAATGTATATAACCTTTTACTGTCCTGTTCACATCTCAGATGAATAAGAAAACTGTTGTCTGTTCTAAATAAACCTAGATGCCTCCTTCAGAAAAATTATTGCAGACTTCTGAATTAGGGTTTTTGAAAACTAACTTGTTTTATGTTATTTTTAGTGTAAACCTGCATAAATCAACCTGTTTAAGCGATCAAACAATACCATTCCTACAGGATTTACATTCAGTGATTTTGAATTTCTTTGGGTTATTACAACAACAAAAAAATCCTTTATAATCCATCTTTTTTTTTAAAAATACATAAACTGGCTGTCTGAACCAGTTCCTTGTTCCTTGTTCCTCTCTTTCTACATCATATAATGGCATTATTCTCTCTCATATTGATATACAAAGGTTGCAGTTAAAAGTTTTATTATCGTTACTGATGCAAGCTGTAAAGCTGGATGAACAAACAGTCTTATTCTTTGTTTAATATAGATATTTGCAATATAAATGCTAGCTGCTGTTTGAAATTCAAATTGACTTTGATCATAGCTGACAGTGTATTGACTTAATAGCAATGTATATAACCTTTTACTGTCATGTTCACATCTCAGATGAATAAGAAAACTGTTGTCTGTTCTAAATAAACCTAGATGCCTCCTTCAGATTTTCATTTGTAAATGTAACACCATCCGTTTCTTCCTTTAAATCACTAATCAGTCAAATGAATGTCACGTGTCTGTTTTTCTTTCCCAAGTTTAATTTTAAAGTTCGAGGTTCAAACTCAGTCTTTGACATCACTGACATGGAAATCACAAATTGAAAGTCAATGAGACAAAACATTCAGCTCTATTTGTCTCAAATTTAAAATAGAAAACAAATAACACTGTAATGGGACTGGGAGGCCTTTTTCTAAATAAAAAAAAAAACACATCAGAAATCTCCACTTTAGCAGCACTCACATACACCATACCTTTCTGTTTTATTTCTATCTATATTCTGAAGGTTTTACCAAGAAATTGTTTCATGTATCATTGACCTGTTTCATATAACACTTTATTTCTAAAACATGATGAAAATTTTTAAAAATTCTGATTTATGGATTGATAAAAAGAGTTGTAAATAAATTGTAGAACAACTATTTAACTAGTTATCTAGAACTAGTAGTAGAACTAGATATTTCATTGTATATGATTTCCTGTGGTTAAAGGGAATGGGTTCTTTACTGGACAATGAAATAGACATACTATCACATAATTCAACCCATGCTGTAGAATGGCTTTGTAGGTTTGTGGAAGTGAGCGTAAATATCTATTAAATTATCTATTTAATATCTATACAGCTTAATTTTACGTTGAACAGACTGTGGTAAATAAATAACTGGATTTTCACAACAATTTATACAATTATTTTCTTTGGATAAATATAAACTACTTGAACTCGTTTAAAAACAACAAAGTTTAAATTACATGTAACATATTATAATAAAAGTGTTTCAATGTTTGAAATCAGAGACTTTTTTTTTCAAAATAAGTTTAAGCATTTTATATGGAAACAACCCCGAACGGACCGAGGAGGGCCCCGCTCCCTACCTCACACCGGGCCCCGCATAAGCTAAGGACGGCCCTGCCAATATGATCCTGAGACCCTTCGAAGTAGACTGGTGAGTCTGATGATGCTGCAAGAAATTTTAAATCCACAATTTCTCCAAGAACCGTTCTCGTTTGGGGATGAAGTCTCCAAAAACCACACAGTGCCCTCAAAGGATCGACAGGCAGCTCTGGAAGAAACTGCACAAATGTGGTCATGAGAGTTCATAAAGGACAAAGTGTTCGCTCTCTGAAATAAAGGATTTTGGAATGGCCAAGTCCAGTATTCCAGTTTGTCCAATTGCAACGTTGTAGGGGAGACTTGAAGTGAATCATACAAGAAACCGTATATCCCAGTTAATGGATAATTCCCTTACAATCAATAGCTTTATAATATTCCCTGTTTTATAGTATAAATATGCAAGTAAAAATCTGAGTTATATATTTTTTTATAGGAATATTAACATTTATGAAAGGTTGTTTCATAAACAACAAGCTGTGGTTGTTAACATGTTAACATTTAGTTCTGCCCTACATTTGAATGACATTGAAAATATTGATCTGGACTTCTGTGTGATTATGAAGAGGAGGAGTCAGAGATGCAGTGTGTGCAAACATCACAGCTATTACTGCAGGGCAAAATATAAAACAACAGTGAGTGAATCAAGGACCTATAAACACTAAGATTGGTAATAACTACAAGAATCAAGGTAACATTAATAACCAAGCAGTTAAGACATTTCAAGAAAACATATTTTAGAGTGTGTTGGTAGATACTTTATAACGAAAGAATTTGTGTATTGGACCTTCGACTGTTTATATCCCACCTGAAACTGTGACGTTATATCCCGGCGCTTCTCCTTATCCACCCATAACTGCTTGTTTGCAATTATGGACAAATCGTATTGGCTCTCACAGTTTTAATCCCAAAAGAACGTTCCAGATGCTGAAATACGATTGGTGCACAGAACTGCAAATCAACATAATAATCCCGCCCTAATACTGTGCTCTGATGTCAGCGCAAGCAGACGGACCGTTTCAACTATCATTATATCTGCATTCAAGCCACGTTTGGTAAGCGAAAATGTTTTAAAATACATGCTCAAAATTTTGTTTAGTGCTTCATTAGTATAATATATTTAATCTTACATTTGTTTAAATTTGTCTATATAGTTTATTTAGAGTGTAGGTTGGTAGATTAACAGTCCCCTATAATAATCTCAAATGCAGTCTAGTGCACTCCTCCTTATTCAATGTAGCATCGCGTCATTAATGGTAGACCTTATATTAATTACTGCACATTCACAGTTAAAAACCTCAACTTTGTTATTAATCAGCGTTTCAGTCAACTCCAATTCCCAAAAAGTACTGTGGTGGTATCATGGTATGGTGATGTTTTGATGATTATATAAACTATGTACTTAATTGTTATCATATGTGTGATGTTGATGTTGGCATGCTATACCCCAATTACTTAAAAAAAAAAAAAGAAATTTATGTCAAATATAGCATGGTCTTCAATAATTTAGACCTTAGAAATATTATTTTCTCATTGGTTTAGTCATTAACAGATAATTAGTGTCGTGTAGTACAATGTGATAATGTAGGCTATGTTCTGTGCTTTTACTAGTGAAATGGAGCACTGTTGAGTAGTGAGCCATTGATTTCCATTTGAGTTAATGGACATTTCCACAACCCTGCCTGCCTGATTGGTAGCTAACAGAGAGATGCTGACCAATTATGTTTGCTCTTAGCTTCTCCTGAAACCTGAAACCTAAATTTAGCTACAATGAGATAGGGAATGTGATTTCAAGCCTGCATTATATATAAAACATATCCAATAATGGAAACCTTGAACCATGATTGAAATAAACATGCCTCAGTACAGTCATGTTCTACAGGAAGGTGACCCTTGGCTACAAGAGATGTGGTGGATTTAATAGTTTTACCTGAAAATGATTTCTACACACATTCTTGGTTCCATGCATTAAAGAATAATTTAGGAATACGAACGAATGCTCTTAAATGTGTCATGGAAGTCAATGTGAGTGAAAGCGGTGTAATCCAGAGAGCAGTGCATTGTGTGTGTGTGTGTGTGTGTCTCTAATAACTTAATCCTGAGAGGCTGGAACACCAACCTCCCCCTGTATAATCGTCTGGTGACATACAGTTACCTTACTCGTTTCTGGATTGTAGGCCACACAGTTACCTTACTCGTTTCTGGATTGTAGGCCACACAGTTACCTTACTCGTTTCTGGATTGTAGGCCACAGAATGAAACGAACAACATGTGGAACCTTTGAAGTTACGCTGTTATGTTCAAAGTTGTTTATAGAATATATGTATTAATAGTATAGGGGATCCTTTGTGAAAAAGAAGTGCACTTAATTGTACTCAACGTGCACTTAAAGTGTGCTTCAAATCTTTTTTTTATTTTAACTATACTGGCAAATAATGTAATATTAATGAAATAAAATAACAAGTGGAATAAAAGACCATTAAAGGGACAATTCACCCAAAAATGTACATTTTGTCATTTACTCACCCTCAACAGGGTTAGTTGGTTAAACTGTCCATTTAAGTGCACTTAAAGAGAGGCCTTTCATAACTTTTTAACACACTTAAGTAGACCTTTAGAGTGCACTTTGTAGTAATGTCAAATTAAAAGTTTGCTTTAAAGTACATTTTAAATCATTCTTCTCAATCTTCTGTTGTGCTTTAAAGAAGTACACTTCTTTTGATGCATTGACTAACAAAAATACTTTATAATTCTAACTGTAGTGAGCTTTACATTTAAAATTAATATATTTTATCATTACAAATGTCTAATTACTAATATATTCAAACACATGACAGACGTAATAGAAATTACATTAAAGCATATTTTAATTTAGGCTCCAGCCCTGTGAACCTGCATCCTGCACTTCACTTCACTTCAAAATCCTCCTTAATTGGGTCAAAAAAAGATCTAATTGGACTAACTAAATTGCATAATTTGCAAATTGCAAATTGTAATATAAATCTATCATACTAATTTATAAACTAATACATTTAATTGCAATTAACAAAATTAATTGTCCAAAATATTACTTTCTGTCTGCACTTCAGTAAATTGTAAGTGTATTATTAAGTATATTATCATTTATATATTATTATAAGTATATTTTATTGAAATAAACAAGGGGTAGCAGGTTAAGTATGTAAGCATATAAATAAATCTTGATATCAATATATACCATTGACCATTTAGCCATTTCAATTTATAACGTAATCAAGTTAGATACTATTTAATTAAAATAAACAAAACACAAATTTTATTCATGACCACATATAAACCTAGCAAAAGAGTATTTTGATAAGAAAACTACAATGACCACCAAAATACTGGACACTTCAGCCACTTGTGCAAATATTTAAATATCAACGCATTAATTCGAAGACAGCACACTTATTAAGCAAAACATTTGACAAAGGGTATTTCTTAGGTTTTAATAAAACAGTAGTAAAACAAAGAATCTGGGATATTTTTGTGTGTTGGTGGAATGTCTATAGTTCCATAATAGATGTCGTTCTAGTTATAATTTTTTCCTCTTCTTCTTCATGGTCCTACTTCATAGTCTTCATGGTTTTCCACTTAACAGCTGAACCCATGATTTTATGTAATGACCATTGCCTTATATTAATAGGTTCTTAATATAAGACAAGTTAATATAATTTATATAACAGATTTTTAATAGGACTTCCAATTTGTAGTGTACATATTTAGTCTATTAATCTGTTAGTCTAATGTGACATGGAGAAAGATGTGCGATGGATGGTGTGAGTACATTTGGTCTAATTGTCATCCTGTTTGTGTGTCCTTACAGGTGCTGGTTTGTTTGTGTACATGTGTTGAGGTGAAGTCATGCCACTGGTGAAGAGAAACATTGAGCCCAGGCACCTGTGCAGAGAAGCTTTACCTGAGACCATCAGCAATGAGCTGGAGTGTGTGACCAACAACACTCTCTCTGCCATCATACACCAACTTAGCAGCCTCAGTAAGACCTACTTTATTATATTAGTATAACAAAAGAAAAAAAAAGATTTTTATTTTTAAACCAGAATAAATACTGGGCATGTACTGTAAATGTTATGATAAATTCACAGATAAAAAAAAAAAAAAAACGTGCAACCTGACATTTAAGCAAAACAACCTTGTTCTGAGAAGAACACAGCGTAACATTTCAGTTTAATTCATAATTTATTTGAACCTATATGCATGCACTTCTGTTTTACACAAATACACTATAAATCAATGGAATAAATTAGATGGGATAGCAATATATATATATATATTTTTTTTTTTTCCACTGGCTCACCAGCAAACACTCTAAAGCTTAATCCCATGAAGCACAGAGCAATCAACAGATGTGGATAAGGAGTATATGCATGTTCTGTGAATGTATGGAATAAGACTTGCATTTATTGATTTGCAGTTAATATCACCCCTGTGTGTGTGTGTGTGTGTGTGTGTGTGTGTTTTGCAGTTCTCCAGTAGATAAGAGCATGCAAATGAATTATCAATGTGTAAACATAACAGTTGAAGATTGTACATAAAAACTGAGAAATAACCACTATTGTGCCCTTGAGTGCAGAGCAGTTTGCTTTAAGAGGAATTTCCTAATAAGTGTGCCGTAAGATGCTTTGGGTAAAGCATCCAGTAAATTACTATTTAAAAGGTCATCTCTGACCCTCAGTCTTTCTTTCTCATCTACTACAGGTAAACATGCAGAGGATGTGTTTGGTGAGCTCTTTAATGAAGCCAATACATTCTACCTGCGTGCTAATTCTCTACAGGACCGTATAGATCGTCTTGCAATCAAGGTCACTCAGTTGGACTCTAGTGTGGAGGAAGGTCAGTCAAAGGTCAAAAGTCAAAGATCACATGCACTTTACCAGAAATGGGATGCATATTTAATAGGATATTCCAGGCTAAACCTAACATGCATAAGGAATGTGGGTCAAAATGACCCATGCATCCCCTTTCTTTGGTATATTTAATTTTTTCGCGATGTGGTCTTTTCATCTGACATTCCCAGAATTCCTACAATAAGTCGTATTTGATCATATGAACTTTTTTTTTGCATGCATGTTATTTCTTTAAGTTCTAATGAAATTTGTACCATTACCCTTGGACTGCGCATATAAATCATTGATGGTTAAAAATTGTCAGTGGTAAGCAACAACATGCCTCATACAGTACGTTGTTAGAGTTATATTTGATGAGTTCAAATGCAAAAGTCTCTAAGTGCCGTCTGAAAATTTTCTTCTAAAATTAGTATTTTTCTCAAGCTCCAATGTTTGTGTTCAGTTATTTCACTTTAATGGCAATGAAAATAACCTATTCATTGCCATTAAAGTGAAATTACTGAACCTACACACAGGAGCCTGATAAAAATGTTCATTTTAGAAGAAAATTTAAAATGGCACTTTAGAGACTTTTATATCTGAACTCTTCATTTCTTTAAATGTGTCACAATAACAGAAAAAGATGACACAGAGGTAATGTACACCCAGGTCTTTATTAGCAGGAATGTCAGAAATTCAAGTGATCCATGCAGGTGAGTATATAAGTTCATAAAATGGCTTGAGAAACTTGGGTGAATAACAGTCCTTTTCTTTCTTTCTTTTTTTTAAAGTTATATTTATGGGTTTTTATTCCTTTATTACTCAGACAGGACAGTTGAGAGATGACAGGAAAGCATTGGGTAGAGAGAGGGGAGCAGGTTCAGCATAGGACTTCAAGATGGGAATCTTGGACGGGCGTCTAGAGTGTCGGCTGAATAAGGGGTGTTTGGGGGGCCAGCTGACTGACTGACTGAAGGGTTGATTTCAGCAAACCTAATGAAACAAAAAGTCAAATAAAGAGTTCAAAGGTGGCATCCATGGCCACGAAGGAACATTGACAGGAGACTCAGGAATTACCTCCTTGGTCGCTTCATGACACACAGGAAACTTGGGATCGAACACCTCCACTTCGATACAAGTGGGAGAGCAGTGTGCGGCCCCAAACACACATTATGTCACTGCAATAACAGGGAGAGCAATCAGTGGTGGAAGGGTCTTGGAATCCTCTAGGCTTAGAACTATCTGGCCAGATACTGGCATGATGGCAATGACATTAGGAGACTCAGGCATAGCATTCATGATAGTGGGAGACACTGACTTGATGGCCATGTTGGTTAAAGATTCTGGTGGTAGAACAGGTACTGTGCTGAGCTCTGGGACGAGTGCAAGCTCCTCACTGTGTGCGGGGAATTGAATAGGCTCCTGGTTGAGTTTGGGAAAACAAGCGGATTCCACACCGAACTCTGAAGTGGACTCTTGGTCTGGGGGAATGCTCATAAAGACTCACAATGAACTTACTGGTTCGCTGTAACTGGAGTGGACTGTGGACTGAGACTTTACAGACAAGATAGGTGGGTCCACTAGCTATGCCGTTAGGTCTGCGCTGTTTGAGACAGCTTTCTTCACCCGAAGAAAACCTAGAACACTTGCTGTGATCTTACTTTACGGGCAAGTTTTCATTCAGACTTTTTCAATTATA